TCGTGACAGATCACTCTTGTCCCTCTCTTGAGATCTACGTACGCTTCCCATCACGAACGAGGCCACAAGATAATTACTGCACATTATGTTCCATTTCTAAGTCTACTAGGATTCTTGGCAGTGCCCGGCCCTCTTTATTAACACTCACATCTCCACTCTCGCACGCCTCCCTTGCCGTCACTCTTTCCGTGCCATTTTGCTGATTCCATTCTTCCCCTTTTAAACAAATTAAGGATATTAATCATTGTTATCAGGGCTAGATAATATTTTTAAATTTGTTCAGAACTTCATTAAGTTTTCAATACTCGCGCTCTGGGAGTTGTTGTTTCCCATTAAAGGGAGAGAAAGGTCAGAGCAGCAAAGGGTACTGAGGAAAATGTGTGACAAATACTTTGTGATAATTTGGAGATCAGTAGTTTCTTGAAACAAGGACCAGGCAATAATATAATTCTTCTACCAAATTAAAGCTTCTGTATTGAAGGGATTGCTAGAGCATTCAATTCCAGATGATCAATCTCCAAATAGATTGGCGTGATTAATTTAAATCATCTTTAATTTCAAAAGGAGAAACGCCGGTGTTTTATTTTCTTTGTCAACATAACTAAAAAATGCTATTGGAGTATCGTTTTGGAGAGCCAAAAATACACAGGTGTTTGGTGTTTGTTGTTTGTTTAACAGGAATATAAAAAACCAGTGGATGGTGCTGTACACCACTTTCCGACACGTACTCAATATATTTGTGACAAGTGTTTGGTCTGTTCTAGCTGCCAGTTGCCATGTTACTCCCCACCAAAAGCGACCCATGTTTTTTTGGCCAAAAATGCAACTCATGTTTAGTAATTCGATTTTATTTATAAATTATTTTTATTAAATTTATTAATATTAATATAATAAAAATAGAAGAAATAAAAATAAATAAAATTTTAAATATAACCTTTAATTAAAAACAAAAAGCTAATAAATAATATAATATTATTTTTTTCTTACTTTTTAAAGGTAATTTAAAAAATTTGAAACAAAACAATCTCATCATCAAGTGACTTATAAGATAGATCAAATTATGCTTCTAAAAAATGACTAATATATAGGATTGGATGAGTATATTTCTTCATTTTTTCGGGGGAGCCTCATAACAAGAGATTATATGTACTTTCTTAGGTTTACTTTATTGGTCACCTTTTAAAAAAATAAAGTGATTCACTTGATAAATTATTTAATTGATAGTAATATTTTGTTTTAAATGAAATATCTAAATTAATCTTAAAAAGTAAAAGAAAAATAAAAAAATATTACATAATTTATTTACTTTTTAAAAATTATATTTAAATTTTTATTAAATTTTATTTTTTATATTTTTATTATATTAATATTGATAAAATTAATAAAAATAATCTATAAATATAATTTAGTGGCGGGGGAGGGGGTAACATAGATACTGATGGTATATATTAAATGCACACCAAATGGCGTTATATACGTACCGCATTACGTGTAGAGTAGGAAAATCACACCTCGAGTTGGATCGAATGCTGTAAAGCTCTCTAAGAGATGGTCCAAACTCCGAAGCCATTCATTCGCTACTGTATGTGTAAAGTATTTTGACCAGAGGTGTGTATATTTATATCTTATTATCATCCTTGCAAAAATATGTAATGTGAAATCACGGCCACATGTTGCGACCAGCCAACAGGAATCAGTTCTGGACCAGTTTGAAACGTACGTCTAGATCAAAACTGGAATGTCCAAAACTCAAAATCTAATATAATTTTATTTTTATAATTTTAAAATTTTTTAATATATGATTCTAAATAAAGATAATTTTACAACTATCACCCTATTAAAAATAATTTTTATATAAAAATTACCAGTTTAAAATTTCACACTTAAACTATTGGAATCAATTTTGAATAGCTCAAAACCACAATATTGACGAGCATCATGGTGTGATGGGCCGTGACTTTGTTGAAGAAATGAGTTGTGGAAATGTACATATACACTAATTAACCCACATAAACCCCCGTAAAGCAAAGATTTAGGAGATGAAAGCAGAAGCAGAATAAATGTGCGCGCGTGAATTCTGTGAGAGCATTGCAGTTTTCTGTGGGGCACAGCAGCGGAGCTAAAATTTGAATTTTAATAAATTGCTCGCACAATAATTATCCCAGGCTATTATGTGCAACTAGGATATAATACACATTTTTTTGGAATTTATTATTATTAGAACATAAAAAAATCTTATATTTAAAAATTAAAAGATAAATTGTAAATTTATAAATTTATAAAGTATCACTTAAATTATAGTGATAAAGTATGTTATTCTTAAACATTCTTAACATAAAAAATCTAATAATTATTTGGCTGGACAGATGAAATGTTTGTGCGTTTAAAGTGCCACCTCAAGGATCGCATGTTGATGTCTCTATTTTGCAATAAAGACAAAAAATAAGCTACACGTACGGGATCCCTTTTGACAAATCCCTGGCTGCTATTTGACTTTTTCTTCCCCAGTCCTAACCCATTTACAAGTTCAAGTCAACCCCGTGGGATCAACCCGGAAGATTCCCAGCAACTTTTCCATTAATTCCCCATTTCTCTTTGGTCGGACATAAGTACGTAACGCTCAAGTTTCCGCTTCGCAGTGTACTTTCCTTTACCATTGTAATTCTTTTAAATCCTGGTGATCTCACATCAAGGCAGCGTTTGGATTGATATTAATTGTTATACTAGAATGTTTAATTCTATTGACTAAATATAATTTCAACACGCATCTTGAGCAGGGAAAAAATATAGCTTTGCACAGGCACAAAAAAATGCGCTTTAGTAGACGAAATAAAATCAGCGTACAATCCATATTCATATATACAGGTACATTAGAATCGAAGTGTCACGAATAACCTATATATATATATTTTGGGTCTTCACTTGAAACTGAGATATTAATCACAGAAGCTCGTTAGTGCTTACCTTATACGTACTGTTAGTGCCCCACCAACACGCGTATACGGTATATACACATGTTATCAATAGGTGGAGGAGCCAAGCATATACGGACGCATGTAATGTTAAAGTTACGGGTAAATCAGTAGCAGGTCAATATTTAGTTTAGAGAGTTGACGGACTGAATTTGCCAGAAGGACAAAAAAAAAAAAAATGATGAAAGAAAAGAAGAGAATTGACGAATGGAAAAGCTTGGGGATTAAGCCTCCACAACAGTTACGCGGGAGTACGAGAATTATGCCAACAAGAATGACCTAAGCAGTGGCGACACGATATCAGCAAGTTTTGATCTGGTCGTCCTTAATCTATCACACTCAGATCCTCCATTCATTATTCAATATTCATTTCCCAGTCTACTTCTAAGAAAGTATCCCCCAAGTCATTCCTTGACGTTGCCTTCAATTCACGTCCCTCTCTCCTGCCACACTTCACCATTAATTCTTTATTTAATACTTACTTCACAATTAATTCTAAACCAACCACTAATATCCATTCCCAAATTAAAAGTCATTCATTCCACACACGCACCTATAATTGCAATCCTCTTGCTGGAACAATAATGCATTTTGACATATATTGTTAAGGTTTTACTACTGACTGTAGACTAAATGAAAATATATAATTAATATGTCGTCAGGATTTGTAAATTCTCCTAACACTATACGTCTTTAATTCATTCTAGCAAATATTGCTGCATTAAATTTCCAAACTACTAGCAACAATGTTAACATTTTATAACAATATACAAATAAATAGAAACATTTAAAAAATAAACTGGCAGCAGGACAAAAGAAAAAAAATAAAAGCTCCCACGGAATTTTTTATTTATGACTCCACTTGCCGATTCGAGAATCCATAAATCCAATCATAATTACGATCTAATAGAGTGATAGTTGTCCATTAATAACCCAAATTACATAAAAAGTAAATTTTTACTCTCTCTAGTCTCATTTATGAGGCAAATTTTATAAAGCCTCTTTAATTCTATTTATAAATTAAAATGTAGCTTTTTAAATAATATTTAAGAGTATGTTTGGATTAACATTTCACCAGCTAAAGTTTGCATAAACTATAATTTTTAAACTAAAATTAAGGTAAATATCAGTAATGTGATTTATGTTTTAATACTTTTTGTTATAAAAAAGTTTATTTGGCAAAAACATGTTTGGATGATATAATTAAAAAGTAAATTTACATGTAAAATGATAGATAAGGACATAATAAGTTTTATATATTATAATTATATAATTTGGTAAATTTAAGAAAAAATATTAAAATTATAATTATAGATGTAAAAATAAAAAAGACAACATATAAATGTCAAATTTCTAGACTAATACATACTCCATGGAATAACAATGGAAAGAGTATAATTCCCAAGCTCCGAGCATTGAATGAGGAAGGGTAAATAATGGTATAACAATATTTTAAAAATGCATTGATTGCTCCAAAGAATAAAAGCCAAACGCCAGTGATCTAAAAGCTACAAAAGCTAACTTTTAACCTAGCTGTAATTGTAAAAGAAAGCTCATTTATCAATTACTTTTACTCAAACATATTTTTTCGTCTCTAAATCATTTTTAACCATACTAACTATAGTTTAGGCCAATCAAATGAAATGTCGAACAACCCTTATAAAACATTTTTAAAATTTTGTCTTTTATAAAAAAATAATGTAGCACCACTTTTTAAATTTATTATATAAAAATATATTTAAATTTTATACAGTTTTATTTTTTATTTTTTATATTAATATTGATGATATTATCAAAAATAATTTATAAAGATAAGCAGACAAATATTATCTTAATAAGATGTAAACGACCCGGGATGAGGGCGTGATGCTGCCGGTGAACAAACCTGCGTCTACTTGTCCACCCCACGTGGTTGGAAGACTCTTTCTCTCTCTTCCCGGGACGCCCCTCCAGGGTTTCGCTTTCCATCCTACGGTTTTGTTACGTTTATATATATATATATATGTGTGTGTGTGTATATATAAGAATCGGCTACGCAGCGGTGTCTTCATTTACAAGTAAAATCTGGATTTCCTTCTTTCCACTCGTATAGCCATTGTACCTTGCTTCAACCCCTCACAGGATTTTTGGTTCTCCATTCTTCAGGTACTCCCCCTCAATCAACCACCATTTTGCTCTTCACTCGCATTTCCTTTTATTCCAGAATCTCTTGAATGGTTTCCAGTACGGGTTCGATTTTGTTTTCAATTTACTTCCGGGGGGTGGGGATGGTGTGACAGATTCATCATACTCGTTCTGAACGTTCCAGTGCTTCTTAGATGTACTGGGTACTTGTTATCTGAGTCCAGCCTGTGATCCTCCTATGTAGCAAAGCATTCGTTTTTTCTTTTCCCATTGTTTCTTGTTTGCCATTGATGTTTTGGTGAGAGTTTTTTGGACCCGTCGTCCAAATCCATCTCTAAATGGAGTATTCCGTGTTATTTGATTTGTCTTGTTTCGTTAGCTTTGGATTTGATTATTAAACAAAAAATGGAATTTTGGTGGCATTGCCTCAGATTTTTGCATTTATCGTGATGAAACCATTCTGGAAATTTTTACTTGCTTTATCCATTATCCAGATGGATTTGAGCAGCTGGAGTGTATGGACTGAAACTTCTTCAATCGGAGATTATATGCTGGCTAATATTGCAATACTGATTTCTCTGCAATTTTTATGTTTTTACAGGACTGCAGACCAAAGGTTGCTCCAGATTTGTTTTGTTGTCATATGGGGATTTCTTTTTCATGTCCGTTTGCAAAATACGATGACGTCGAAGATGGCTTAGAGTCTGTCGTTGTAAAATCGATCGACTTCGGTGACGAAGTCATCAAAACTCCTGTGCGATCGGTCAGTTTCAAGAATCAGGACACAGGACCCACAGTACTGAAATCCCTGGGTTCTGGGACGATGATGATAGAGGCGTCAGTGATCTTCAAGAGAAATGAAGCTGAGAACATGATCTTAACCAAGACTATGCCTGTTGACATTGAGAAAAACATGCCGACATCAAGGGTGAGTGAAAGGAGCAATGAGATGGATGATCGAGTTCTCAGATCAGAGTGTCAAGTGGAAAAGATACAGTCAGCCCTTTTGGACCCAAACAATCCCAAACACATGGCCGCAGTCAAGTTACAGAAAGTATACAAGAGTTTTCGAACTAGAAGAAAGCTTGCTGATTGTGCAATCATTGTTGAACAAAGCTGGTGTGTATTATTTATTATAAAAAGCCATGCCCGTATTTACAGATTCTTTTCATGCTTTTATCATGGTTTGATGTGATCCTTGTGTAATTTAACCATAGGTGGAAGCTACTAGATTTTGCTGAACTCAAGCACAGTTCTATATCCTTCTTTGACATTGAGAAACATGAAACTGCTATTTCACGTTGGTCTAGAGCTAGAACCAGAGCCGCCAAGGTATTTTTTACCCTATACTACCAATATAGCTCTATCTAATCTATAGCCTTTTAGTTTTTAAACTGCACGGAGAAGAATCTAAATCATCTCCCGTTGCAGGTTGGTAAAGGCTTATCAAAAGACGATAAAGCTCAAAAGCTTGCTCTACAGCACTGGCTTGAAGCGGTTAGTCAGATGCATGAGCATACCTGTTCTTTTTCATTCGTAATCGATCTGTTGGTCCTCCATTTATCATTACTCACTCAAATGTTTTTCATGTATTTGAAACAGATAGATCCACGTCATCGCTATGGACATAATCTACACTTTTATTATGATAACTGGCTTCGATGTCAGAGCAGAGAACCCTTCTTCTACTGGTAATACTTTTTTTTTTTTTAACTATCTTTTGGTTTAATGACCTTGGATATTGTTCTAAATGATATTTTAAGTTAACGACAGAAGCCTGATATGAAAGTTTATGCTTCAAAATTACAGGCTAGATATAGGAGAAGGAAAGGAAGTCAATCTCGAGAAGTGTCCTCGATCTAAACTTCAACTGCAGTGCATCAAATATCTTGGGCCGGTAAGATTTCAGATTGATATGAATATCTTTTATTTGACACATGCACTTAATTAATCTTCGGTTTAACTTATATTCATTATCATCAATTTTTTCCCCCCTTTTCAGATGGAAAGGTTGGCTTATGAAGTTGTATTAGAAGATGGAAGGTTCGTGTACAAGCAATCAGGAGAGCTACTTCACACGACTGGAGGCGAAAATGCCAAATGGATTTTTGTCCTTAGCACATCTAAGACCTTGTATGTTGGAAAGAAGAAGAAAGGTTCGTTTCAGCACTCAAGTTTCTTGGCCGGAGGAGCCACATCTGCTGCCGGGAGACTAGTTGTGGAATATGGGGTCTTGAAGGTATGGATCTGGCAGAAGAAGGTTTATATTTTGCTAGATTCCTGTAGCCATTTTGCAGCTAATGTTTGAATAATATGCTCGCTAAATTTTCTGGTCTTTGTTTTGAACAGGCAGTTTGGCCTCACAGTGGTCATTATCGTCCTACAGAAGAGAATTTCAAGGAATTCATTTCATTCCTTCAGGAGAATGATGTGAACCTCTCATATGTCAAGGTATTGAAATTTAAAAACCAAGGCTTTGCATTTTTTTTTTCTTGCCAACAATGACTCAGATCTCTTCCAAACGTGTAAAACAACCTAGTCTGATGTTATTCGAATGGCAATATGCAGATGGCTCCAGTTGATGATGATAGTGGATCACTCTCACAGAGATTCAGTGGTCATATTAGGAGCCTCTCATCTGACGAGGACTTCACTGAGAACGTGAGTGGCTTGGAGACAGAGGAGACCAGTGCCAGAAACTCCATTGAGGAGAAAGCCACTTCAATTGAATCAGAAACTGCTTCTGCCTCGGGGGCACCAAGGACAAGGCAATTCCAGGATTTTGGAAGGGAACTGACCAGTCTTGAAATTCCCAAAAGGGTGAAATCATTCAGAAAGCTGGAAAACGAGGAAGTTGATGATCAAAGTAATGAGAGTTTCCAAATGGAATCACCCACTACTGGTGAAGAAAAAGCTGCGCTAAGTTTGGGGTCTAAGGCAGATCGTTCTGATGAAAAACACGATGACGAAGTAGAAACTATTCCAGAAGAGTCAATTGTAAGAAGGATTAGCTCACTGAAAGTAACCAGATCATACCAATTAGGGAAACAGCTATCTTGCAAATGGACAACTGGTGCCGGACCACGCATCGGCTGTGTGAGAGACTACCCTTGTGAGCTCCAGTTCCGAGCTTTGGAGCAAGTGAATCTTTCTCCAAGAAGTGATGGCCGCGCCAAATCTTTTGCTCTTAGAACCACCACTGGGTTGGGCGAAGCAGCCTCAACACCTTCAAGTTTGTGGGGAACTTCACTTGATAATACGAGCATGTCTCAAGAGGATGGTCATCATCCAAGATCGGAGTCCTTGCCCTTGATTAGGGGAACATCAGTGATACCAGTTATTCATTCCAGTGATTAACAGGATTCGTTGATTGATTCTTTTGTGTGAATAGGAAACAAGATACAGGATTCTTTTTCTTCCATTTTTTTTGGGGGTTATCATTTCAACTAATTTATATAGGAATTCTTTTTCCGCTCATATTGTACAATACAGGATGACAATTGTAAAATTTTTGCCCTTCTGAATACAAAAGGAAACAAAATTCTATTTTCCACATTATTGAAATTAGATTAAAGCTAGGTTCTGCAGATTCCCGAGTTACTTTACTTGTGGGCCATATTGCTGCCCATCTCAGAAGCACGGACACGACAAAATGGCCGGCGTGTCCGTGTCGGATACGTATCCGACACGGACACGCGTTCAGGAAGGGAGAACGGCGCGTCCCTTTTCCCAGTTTCCGGCGGACGCGGGCGGATGCGGGTCAAGACGGGCGGACGCGAGCAGACGCGAAACTCTGCATTTTTCAGTTCCTTTTACTCAGTTCCAGCTCCAGAAATCCGATGCCTTAACATTTTCAGCTCCAATCGACCCCCCTTCTCGTATTTTCTGCTATAGCTTCACCGCCTGTGCTTCTAATTCTTGTTCTTCATCTCTCACGTTTATTCACGGTTCACGCTGCGTCGCTGCCTCACCCGCTCTGCTCTGCCTCTGCCTATTCACGGTTCACGTTTATTCTCGACCGTCTGCTCTGCCTCTGCCTCACCGTCGTTCTTCAGCTTCATTGGTAATTTATTCTGTATGGTCGGTCACTTTTCAGCTTCATTTTCAGTTCCTCTTGTTGTGCTACTGATGGAGATTTTATTATTATTATTATTGCATTATTGGATAATTTGTGTGCTACTGATGGATATTTTATTATTATTATTATTGCATTATTGAATAATTTGCTCACTGCTGAACCGAGAGAGTTGTCCAGAGCAATTGAATTACTGATTTAATTTTTTTTAGATGGATTATTTTGTTGAATTAAATATTGATTTATTTTAAATTTTTAGTAGCTCTCTTCTTGTTAAAATTGTAGGATATTATTTAAAATTAAACCTGCAATGGCTTCTAATTTTAGACCCGGTAGTAGTTCAGGAAGTGTGAATTCTTAATTTCAATCTAGTAATGAAAGACATCTTGAAATTATATTTTGTGATGGCATTAGATATCTTGAAATTATATTTTTGGATATCCAAATATTTAATATTTAATTATTTATATAGCCGTACCTGTATCCTAAAATTTTAAAAAATAGCCGTGTCCGCGTATCATATCGTATCGTACCCGACACTCATACCCGTATCGGTGCTTCTTAGCTGCCCATTGTACACGGTGAGGTGACATGAGGACGAGATGATGAAGATATCGATTACCGAACTGTAATGCCTAGAAGTGCGTGTCTGATATATGTCCATGCCATATGCATGATATGCGAGTGTGAACGTGGTTTGTTCATTCTTCAAGCGGTTTGATTTTATTTGAGTGCTTGAAGTAACTCCTATCTGGAAACTTAGAATTATCGTATAAAGGGATTCCAGAAATTGAAATAACTCATGAGGGTGATTTATCATGCGTATTCATGTTCAGAGATCAGGCTACTATTTAATACTATACCATAGTATCATTCGTATAAGATACAACTTTTTTGGAGCAATTTGTATAGGTTAGTTGAAAATAATTTCCTATAACAGCTGATTCCGCGAGGACAAAGCATGCATGCATGCATGTATTCATTCGTATGTAGTAGTAAAGAGGAGGCAAACAGACAATCGCACGTTAGAGCGAGGGCGTGCAAACAAACTTTTTCAGAGAATATTGCTCACTCAACGTGAGGAGCACAAAGAATTCACTAATAATTTGTGCACAAATTTGGTTACAACAGATTGACACGTCATCAATTCTATAGAGTTCTATACAAATGATCAGATGTACACAAGCCTAGTGTAATATAAAATACACTTCAGAAAAAAATGGAATATCTTGTAGCAGGTCTGGGCCATGTCTTCCTCTGGGACTGCTTTTGTCTTTTGGACTTAAGAGTTGGGTATATCTATGGTTTTATCATGAGAGAATTATATTAAAATCCCATACAAGAAAATTAATTACTGTATGGTCTATTGACAATTGAATTAAATTGTATTAATAACACAACTAGTTGTTAATGCAGTTTAATTTTGTTGTCAATGGATCTTACAGTAGTTAGTTTTACCGTGTTGGACTTGGTGGTAATTCTTTCTTTTATCATCCGCACACAAATGAGAGGTGATTGGAAAGCTCGAGTTTGTCTTGTAAACTTAAGAAACAAGTGGAAGACAAAGGCTTTGTGAGAAGATCCACCAGTTACTTGTCAGAAGGAACAAAGCAAACATAAATTGTCTTATTCAGAACCAAGTTGCAAACAAAATGAGTGACGATTTCAATGTGTTTCGTACGTGCATGAAACACTGGATTTGAAGCTAAAGCAGCAGCAGACATGTTATTACACTAGATGAGAGAAGAAACACAAGACAGGAGACATAACTCAGAAAGTAGAAAATGTATAGCCATAACAACTTAGACGAGGTATGGGCAAGGGCTTGATATCCTGACTCCACACCAGCCTGAGAGACCACCGTTTGCTTCTTAGAAGACCAAGATAAACCAAGGTAATCAAAGGTCCAACCCTAAAAGAACTACCAAGTTTTATAAAAAAATTGCAAATGAGAATCCCAAGTTTTCATAATATCAAACACTCCTATACATTTTTATCATTCATAAATTAGAGTTGAGAACATATGCGGAAGTATGAGATCTAAAACAAGTTATTGCATTTGCAAAAGAAGTGAGAAAATATTTTTCTCTACAAAATAGCATTATGCATTACGGCTCATTTGCTTTTTTGTTTTGCACCATAGTGTATTGCACAAATTTGACAACAATGTTGTTGTCACATGACAACACCTGAGATGAATTTTCAATACACCCTAAATCTCTATCCGACATTCGATTGAGGTGATATGGGTGTCTATAAAGAGCTTTCTCCTAACTCTAACTAATGGCACTGATTTTACAACCAAATCATTTTTCTATCAAAAATTGGACACCCTTATCAAAACTCATTCCTTTTTCACACAAATACATAATTAGGGTGTCCATTTCCCAAACCAAATGTCGTAAGCCTACACCAACTCTTAGACAACACACAATAGACTATTATAGACTCATGCAACACATCACATTCAATCAATCACACATAAATCATAATTTTCATGCTTAAGCCCTTGATTCACAAAAATATAAGGGGGAGCTAATTTTTTATAATTCCACAAAACATTTATCATTGTCAATTGATTACACAACACCCTACTTGCATGAGTTTTTTTAGCCCTATGTAGCTTTACAACCACCTATCAATAGCTCAGGGTACAAAACACATACACATCTTTTCAACAATAGTGCAAGTAGTCAAACTGAATTATATGTTATCTTAGTTGGCAAATAACAATTTAAAATATAAAAAATTTAAGCTAAGAGGCCTACAAGTAGGATTTACAAAAAATGCTATGCCTCCGGTCATTCTCCTTAACCTTATTCTGATGAGCTAGGCCTTAAAATATTGAAGAATGAGGGATGAGTGCAACTACTCAGTAACTAAGGCTAATCTAGTCTATACAATTACATATTAATTAATTATTGATGCAAATGACAATTATAAATCTTTTTCACAACCAATACATGCATATATTTCAATAATAGCCTCAATCATAAAAAATACCAACCATGTGGCCGAGCACAAATGCATATAATTACATATAATTACTAATACACATATTGAAGTCATGATAATAACAACTATGCACCCCTAACAAAACACATTGGACCGCAATAATAGCAACCATGTGACTGAAAATAGACATGCATGATCAATGTCAATTTTATACCCTTTTGATACCTCGAACATGAAATCACTAGCTATTAAGTGGTTACATCCATAACTCGGACTAGTCAAGCCTTTCACTCATAAGGAGCTTCTTGGCCAAGGCTATTCACTCATTTGTGATCCTTGGTTTTTCCCAACACTGACAATCATGGAGTGTCATACCCCAAATCTAGCCTCCTCATGAATCAATGAAAACTAGTTAGGTTTAAGTCACTCGAAGAACAAATGAAACAATCTTTAATTAGTCATACGACAATAGCTACCTGTCGATGCTAAGGTGAGCTTTTGATTTTAATAGTAAGCCGCCACTACCACATGTATTTAACCCTATTCCTCTCCGTATGCGAACTCCAACCAAATGATCATGCTATACACACATTAACACATATTATGCCAAAACTAATGATAACCATCACAATATATGATAATTATCATAAAACCATTTTCATTATACTCCACAAACCTTATCATGCATTAAATATCTCATGATATTCATATTCATATATATATATATATATATAAACATGAATATGTTTATATTCAATAGCATTATTAACATATGTAACACATATGTATCATTTCTCACTATCCCACTAACACATTCTTATGCATATCACAACAACTTGCCAAACTTTGTATCAAATATGAATTTACAACAATAATAAGTTTCAATACTTTAGTTCAACAAATAATTAATTAACAAGCAATTATATAAGCTTAATCTTTTTTTGATTATCTCAAACCTTTCAGAGGTTAAAGGTTTTCCTTCAAAACACAAACTTCTAAAACTTTCCTCTAGCTTGAATGGTGCAAAGTTGCTTAGTCTATAATCCAACCGCAAGGATAATCATTAATACCCTTATTTGAAAAATTTCTACCCTCTAACTCAACAATCTTCTTTTACCAAAATCACAATTTCACTTTCAATCATACCTATTAGGTCTACTAAGTTTCTTTAACTCACATTATCATTTATGAGCTATCAAACCACCATATATGGCCATTAAACACACCCAACCACCATCATAATTGCTATTTTTGGATATTTATGGCATTTACCAACCAATAACTCACAAAGCCATTAATACTAGGTTTAAATAACCTAAACAGCTCTCATTAACTCTATTTTAATCAATGGGTTCGGTTCAGACTCATAGCTCCTATGGATTGAAAATCACTTTTCCTATTTAAACGTAAGTCAAATCCTTATAAAAATAGAATAAAGAAGAAGGAGGAAGCTTAGCACACTTATCTTAGGTATTCTCTAGCTTTAAAATGATCTCAAATCTCTAATGTTATAAGCTCTAGTA